GCATCGAAACTTGAGCACCTGCTCATCCCGTACACGCGGTTTGCATGTGGCAGGAGACTGGATTGTTATTTACGACGCCAGATGAGTTTATCACATGTGCACGAGAGCTACTCGAAGATGGTGAGGCGCCAGGGGCTTCCCTGCGTTGTTGTATTGTGCTGCGCATTGTGCTGCCACAATGCTGGTTGTTCTGTCCAACCTTGTTGCTCAGTGACGTCACCACTCCTGTCAGAAATGGTTGTCGTGGGCTAACTTGCCTTGCTTGCTGGCTGTTCGTGGGATGCGCGTTCAGATGCATTGAGAGAACGAATGACCGCAAGTGCCCTTGACTACGTATCAAAGTGAGCACCTGTGCATGCTGCGTTTGTGTGTCTGTCTGTCTGTCTGTCTGTCTGTCTGTCTGTCTGTCTGTCTGTCTGTCTGTCTGTCTATGTGTGTCTGTGCGTGCTTGGTTTGGCAGCGGTTGCTGTGCTGATGTGCAGTCGTTTCTCCCTCGCGCCGTGTTCGTGCTCAGGTGCCATTCACTGGATCAGGAGAGCGCGTCATATGCGCAGGCTGTGCAGCGGTTGCTGTTGGCGACACAATAAACGAAAGAACATCTGCGGCGTTTATTAACGTGATGACGTTGAAAGCGTGAAAGTCACAGCACATCAATTAACACAACGGCAACCTGGCTACGTTGACATGCTTACAAACACACACACACACATGAACGACGACGTGCGCCGCATGTCTGTTCGTCGGGGCTTGCGGCTGGGCTTCCAGCAGAAACAAAGACCCAAAGTCGCCAACAGAAACCCCTATTAGCTCCAGAAGAGATGAACCTTACTGCCTTGCGCCTCTCTGAAAGCGTCAGAAGGAGTTAAGAATGATGTTGTGACATGTGACAACTTGACGCCTGGCTGGCTGGGATGTACCAGCAGGCGCGTCCGTACAGGCTGCAACAGCACGATTTGTTGCCGTGATGATTTTGTGCAATTTTTTTCTCTTGAAGCACCACGCCCACCAAATTTCACCGCACTGCTGGCTGGCTGGCGCATTTGCCAAAGCAACACCAGCTGGATTGTGGCGGTGGTGAGTGTGCACGCATGCTGTCCTTTGTCGTGTGTGTGTGTGTGTGTGTGTGTGTGTGTGTGTGTGTGTGTGTGTGTGTGTGTGTGTGTGTGTGTGTCGTATAAAGTCTGTTGGGGAGGGGAGCGCTGGGGTTTGAAAATGGAGACTGACATGCATGCTGCGTGT